AAAGGGCGCTGCAAAGGCGTATGAGAGTGGCCAGGAAGATGGCTCAAGGTGCTGCACAGAGCCTCTGAAGGAGGACAGCAGAGCTGCCACAGCAGTCCCGTGCTGCAGGTTAATACCCATGGGCATCATCATCCTAAGTACATACCAGCAAACTTCAAGATGTCACCTCCAAGAGTCAGCATGTCTGTGGACAGAGGGAAGGAAAGGAAGAGTCATGTGGACACCTTCTTCCATAATCCACAAAGGAAGCCCCCGTGCTCAGAGCGGAGCACCCAGGCGATGGTGCACTATCCGGCACAGCTTAGGAAAAGCACCACCCTGGCCTGTCTCCCAGGCTCCCAGGGGCTGCAGCCCTGGTACCTGCACAGAAGGCACAGAGGCATGGCCTCAAGCTGCCACCTAATTTTCAGAATGGTGGAGGCTGGAAGGAACCTCTGGGGTCCATCTGGTCCAACCCTGCTCTCAAGCGGGGCAGAGCCAGCTGCCCAGGACGCTGGCTAGATGGCTTTGGAAGAGCCAAAAGAGGAAGATTTCTCAAGCTCCCTGGCAATCAGTCAGTCACCCCTCACAGCCAAAAAGTGTTTCCCAACTTACAGAGGGAAACTGCTGTGCTTCAGTGCGTGCCCATGGCATGACCTCTGCTCCTGACAATGAGCACCACCGGAAAGAGCCTAGCTCTGTCCAATCTGCTCCCTCCCTTGAAGTTTTAGACACATTACTGTAAGATCCCCTGAAGCCTTCTCTTCCCTAGGCTAAACAGGCCCAGTTCCCCCAGCCTTTCCTTGTAGGAGAGATGCTCTAGACCCTTCATCCCCTTCGAGGCCTCTTCTGCTTTTCTTTACAAATGCTGCCAAAGGGGTGTCCAGAATGTGCTCATAATCAGCTCAGAAGGGTCAAGACATCCCCTGAGAAAATGGGCTTGGAAGGGTCTCTGTCTCTCCCTGTCTTTCACACACACGCCAGTGCCAGCATGTCCAGGTCACTTGTGCGCTGGCACTTGCTTGGTGCTCTCAGCCTGCTCTGGGCCCCCAGGCACCATGGAGATGGGTGTTCCCATCAGAAGCACAGAGGTGGCTGCTGAGAAAGTGGGTGCCTCCTTGGCCACAGTGGGGAGCAGAAAGGACCTGCACTTGTCCTGACTTGCCAGGAGAGCCTGGCTGTTCTCACTGTTCCTCCAGGCCACAGAAAGTCCCAGCCCTTCCAAGGAAGCAGGACTAGGTTGCCCAGGATACCAGCCTCCCCATTCCATAAGCAGCCCTATGGCCTGCCGCCAGGCAGTCCTGCAGCATGGCTCTTACCCTCCAAAACGTCACACAGGTAGTGATTGAGGTCTTCCGCCAACTCATCAGTGCCTCTCTGTGAACCACCCTTCCAGATACAGTCCTCTGTCAAAGAGGTGAAATCTGTAACAGAGACACCCAGAAATCAGGAAATGAATGCCCTGGGTACCAGAGGACCTGGCAGCCAGTGCCCAGCCAGCCGGGGTGCCCAGCCCGGCACCTTCCCATGCCCCAACTCAGTGTGGGTTGCAGCAGTGCTTAACCACCCATGATAGCCCATCCTTTTTGGGAATCCCAGCAGAAGACCTCAGCATTCATTATGGCCACTCACTATCAGCAGCAGGGGCAGAGCTCCAAAGGGCCTGTTGTGTGCCAGAATGGCTCACGTCCCTCGATGTCACAGTTGCTCCTCCCTGCGCACCCTACCTGAAATATCTGCAAAGAGCAGCACTCCGTGGACTGCCTGAAAGCTGGTCCCGAGGTAGTCGCTAGAAACAAGGCTGGGGAGAAAAGCTGCTGCTTTGTCCAGCTGTGAGCTGCAACGTTTCCTCTCCCAGGAAGAAGACGCCATCTGCACCCTGTGGTGTCCGGGGTACCTCAGGATCACCTGCTGTGCCCAGCTGGGAGAAGAAATATGACCCCAGTGCGCCATGTGAGGTGCCTGCATGTGGGGCAACTGTCCCTCTGCCCACAGGGTGGCCACAGTCACTGGCAGTGGCCTCCTCAGTAGGTCTTTGCTTCCCTGTCAGCTCTCCGCACACATCACAATGAGCTGACAGTGACACTCTCTGCGGGTCATCACCTTCGGAACTGCTGCCCCGTGGCCGAGGCTTCCTCCTTGACACTGGGCCACTGGCTGGAGGTGGCCAGCACCACCCCATTGCTTGCGGACAGCACCCAAGGGAGGCACATGCAGACCTGCTGCAGTGCCTTGCACACACAGCTGTCTGAGAGCACTGCTCCTTCCCGACAGCGGAATAGCTTGTCACCATTTTCCCAGTAGTCTTGCCCGCTTCTTTTTCCAGTGCTCCCTTGCTGCTGCAGCAAAGGGAAGGGTCAGTGCTCTCTGTTCTGGAGACAGGAGGGGGAGAGGGACCGGGAACCCTTGCTGGGCTGTATCTGAAGAGCACCACGCAGCATGCAGTGGGCCACCCAGAAGTCCAGGACAGACTCCAAACTGGTGGGCATGTTATCTGGCAATGGAAGTACTTAAGATTTTGTAAAGGACTATGTGTATGAAAGCTTGGGAATGTTGAGTTTACACTTGCAGGTAGCAAGGAAAAATGTTTCCTTACTGTCCTGGGTCCAGCAGTAGCCGTTATTTTTCTCCTTCTTAGTAGCTGGTGCACTGCTGTGTTTTTGACTTTAGCCTCGGAACAACGCTGATAACACCGATGTTTTTAGTTGTTGCTAAGTAATGTTTAGTCTGACCAAGGACTTTCTGAGTCTCATGCTCTGCCAGGGAGGAGGGGAAGCCAGGAGGAAGCAGAGACAGGACAGCTGACCCAGGGGACAGAACAGGGGTGAGCAAGTGGCCCCGTGGTCCTTAGCTGCCGGCTGGGTTGAAACCATGACACATCTCCAGTGCAGACTTCCCTCCTGCCTCTCAAGGGGCTCCATGATGTTGGCTCCACGACACAGGCTCAAAATGCCAAAATTAATATTTATGGGGTAGAAGAAGGCGAATCCCATTGGTTGCAGATGCTGTCCCTCCGTTAATATTTTTTTTCCTCCCCATAAAATCTAGTCTTTAGGTGCTGTTGCAGAATGACTCTAAGAGCAGGACCATAGAGTTCTGGAGGACTGTGCAAGCAAGGCAGGGGGTGGCCCCCACAGGTGGCCGGAGACCGGACCTGGGAGGAGAATGTGGAGGAAGCTGTGGGGGGGCTAACCAATACTGTTGTGCCAAGAAGGAGTGGCTGAATACCACTCCTATATATGTGTGAACTGCGTCACAAATAAATTAGAAGTTGCTTATCGCCCATATTGGGTTGGCCTGTCTGCTTCTCCTCGCCACTTGGAGTATTGTGTGCAGTTCTGGTGTCCTCAACATAAAAAGGACATGGAACTGTTGGAACAAGTCCAGAGGAGGGCCACGAGGATGATCAGGGGACTGGAGCACCTCCCGTATGAAGACAGGCTGAGAAAGTTGGGGCTCTTCAGCCTGGAGAAGAGAAGGCTGCGTGGAGACCTCATAGCAGCCTTCCAGTATCTGAACGGGGGCTATAGGGATGCTGGGGATGGACTCTTCATTAGGGACGCAACAAAAAACAACCAAGCCCAGCAAATACTCCCAAATAACTGCCTGCTTCTCCTGTCCTTTCCCTTCTGTGTCCTGGGAGATATTTACAGATCCTGTAACAATAAAAGGATTTAATCTGAATGCGAAGGGACACATGAATATTTAATAATTTGTATGTATTGCTTCTTACGGTACTACAAATATTTGGAGAGTATCGTCTTTCTCCAAATGTAAGATAGATGGTGGTAATGAACTATATGATCATTTCCAAGCCAGCATCATCGCTCGCGCAGGCTGCTGACAGATAGAAGTCCACTGCCCTGTCTGTGCTGGCCCTCATGCGCGCTGCCAGGCAGGACTGCCTCCATCCAGCAGAAGTGCCCTCCAGCCTGAAGAGGTGCTCCAGTAAGGAAAGACAGCGGCTCTGCCGCAGCAGCCAGGCGAGCTTCTTCTTCCTGCCAAGCAAGAGAAACTGCTAGGCGCAGAGGCTCTAGCTGTACAGGCTAGAGCCTATGAGCTGGGTCAGACAGGGCCAGGGGGCAAAACGGGTGCCAGACAAGACCGTTACACTTCCTTGGAGGAAATAGAGCTGATGGAGGGGGAGCTGCCAGAAGGGAAAGGGGCAAACAACAAGTACCACAGTGGGAAGCTGGCCGCTAGAGAGGATGTTGGCCTGACAGCACCAGGGGGGCCAAGCTCCTCTTACTGCTCCTTCTCCATGCCCTGGTCCTGCCTCCAGCCCCCCCACCCCTTTTCAGTACAGCTCTCGCTTCCCAGCCAGCACCAATCCACTGCCACAACTCGTGCCAGCAGACACATCCCTGGCTGCAAGCTGCTTTCATACCCTAAGGTATGCTTTGTTCCAAGGGCCTCAGAGGGAGGGAGGGAGAGAGGAACTTTATCATTCCCTGTTCTACCCTCACATTGCTCTGTGTGGCCTCAAGCCTCGTCAGCTCTGTGCCCATATGCCTGTGACCAGGTAGGAAATAACTCTTTCTCCCCCGGGTTCTTGGTCGTGTTTCTTACTGGGCCTTCTGTGGAAGGGAAGATGCTCTTCTGGCAACGTAAGCGGCACACTGCAATTTTTCAACCTGCGACCTGACAAAGTCTTCAGCGCGGTTCCGGGGAAATGGCCTTCCAAGCAGGCTCAAAGCCTTTCTGAGCATTTTCTTTGCCAGCTCTGTGCGTCCCACACCGTAGCAGACCTGCACAGGAAAAGGGAAACATCCCAATGTGGACTAGATGCCCAAGAGACTGCAGGGATCTGCCAGTGGCCAGAGAAGCCAGAGCTCTCCTGTCCACCGCATCTGGGGAAGGCATCCAGCTCCATCACTCAGGAGATCCCTCCAGACCGCCCCTTTACCTCCCCTTTGAGGCTGAAGAAGGTGGCATCTTCAAAGCGGGATATCACATTCGCTTTACTCTTTAGAGTGTTCCTCAGGATATCTGCTTCGCTCAGCTTCCTGAGGGCCTTTGTGCAAGCACACGGAGAGCAGGTGAGATTAGTGCAGAGCCCATGGCTACCCTTGTCCTCCCCCATTGCCTCTGGCATCTGTCTTCAGAGGGTCTGTTTCTTCCCCTGGTGATACCTGCACAAACAGTCATGTTTTTGACTGTGTGCCTCAGAGCACAGGCACCGCTGATCGTTCAGGCCTCCTCCCTGCTAATGCCCCTCATGCTAAGGGCACAGCACCCAATGCCTCTTCCCACACAAGAGGCAAACCAAAGGAAGAAGTGAGGCTCAGAGCTCAACATCTTCCTTCCAAGGACCCACAAAGTCATGTCCTAGTGCAACGCAAACTTGTCCTTCCCAGAGCCAGGCAGGACACACTGCAAGCAGGGCAACTCACCATGTAGTAGTTGGAGACATGCAGGTAGGCAGCTGCATCTCCAGAAGATAGTAAAAGGCTCTGGCAGCATTGCCCAGTGTTGTGTAGTGGTGAACCAATGGCACAAGCACTGACTCCACGATGCCTTTGCAGTCACATGAGAGCGCATTGTTGTCCTCTCTGTCAGTCGCACTACCCAGAGGACAGTGCCCAGGGGAAGAAGAGAGCAAAGAATACAAGGGTATCATCTAGAGTGGTCTTCCTTCCCAGAGACAACATCAAAAGCCCTTTGTGCAAAGCAGAGCAGGAAGCCACAGACAGGTACTAGTCATACAAGTCCTTTGGGAGGAGGGAGTAAGGAAGAAGCTAGGCTTTCTGTCACCTCCCACAGGCAAACCAGCTGAGCCCTTGTGGTGGCTTTTTCCCTGTAGATTTTGCAGTACTACTCTGCAGGAACTGGAAAGCGAGGGCTTCTTTGACACTGAGCCATGGGCGTCCTTAAGCACTCATCTCCACAGCCATCTCCTCTCAGCTCCCACCCCACGGAAAGCCTCTTCGCTAAGCTAGAGTCACAGCTGACAGCCAAAAGCCAGCATTTTCTTTGTCTCCTCTGCACACCCTGAACTCGCTCGCTTCAAAAAGAATCAGAACCTTGTCTGCTCACCCAAAATCCTCTTCCACAAAAGCTTGCTGCTGCTGCTGCTCCTCCTGAGTATCTGTAATACCTTGAAAGAAAAAGAGGGACACCTCCCACACGTATCCTGGGATAAGAGTTGCTCTCCCTCTCCCAGTAGGCCTGCAAGGATCCTTGCAAGGCGCTAACACACCGAGGAAAGTCTGCAGTGGGTGTCCACTCCTGCTGGGCTCGTTCCTAGCAGATCTACTCCCACTCGACCCCCGGCACCAATCCCTGGGCTCCCGGAGGGCCCAAATTACAGAGCATGGTGCACAGCATACCTGCAGAGATGTAAAACCTCTCCTTCTTCAGCTGTTTTCCAGCCAGCACCAAGGCCTTCCAGGTGTGTGGGTCATCCCCACCATCAAAGTCCTTACAGCTCCCTTTGTCCTGGGTGCTGGTGACAGCGAAGCGGTGGAAGACAATAAAGTCCCCTTGGCCGCAGCTCTGGCATTTGTGTGCATACCGCTCCAGGAAGGCAGCACACTTGGAGTGCAGGGTGACCCGCTGTTTCTGGACCCACAGCTCGTAGGCAGCCTCCCGCAGCAGCGGCTTATGGAACATCAGCACACCAAATGGACACCCCACACTCTGCTTGCTTGGGGGGGAGGTCTCCACACCTGCAAGGCAAAGGGCCTTTGTATGAGCCCAAGCTGTGGCCAGATGGGGAGGCAGTCATGCCTCGGTGCACATCCTGAATAGCAACAGTGCTGCTGCACGCCAAGCCCTGCAGCATGGGGTGAAAGGGCTGATGCTAGCACAGCCTTGGGGATGCAGTTCTCAGCTGCACTGGTCCAGGCAGGAGCTGGGGATGTTGTTGCCAGCCAAAGCAAGCCCCAGCCAGCACTTTCTCCCCACTCTTGGCAAGGCAGCCACCAGCCTCCTGAGCAGGAACCCTGCATCACAGGGTAATCAAAGCCCAATAAAAGCTTGCTGAAGACCCTGGGCCATTCTGGAGGGCATCTTTTGTCTGGATGCTGCAGGTGGCTGGGAGAGGATGTCACGGATTCCATCCGCTACGAGCAGCACTTGGATTCAGGGGAGCAGAGGCATTTGGGACAGCTGGTGGGAACTTCCCTCCAGTGCAAACCTAGTGTGCTTTCAGACTGACTTGTAACAGCTTTGACAAACCCATCCCCAACAGCCATGCCAGCCCTCACAGGAAGGGAATCACGCCATGCCCTTAGGAGCCCATCCAGGACACATCTGGGAGCTCCTTGTCCACCCCACTGCTACCACTTACCAATCTCTGCCTGCGGAGGGGTGGCTGGCTCCTTGCTAGGATCTTGGACGTCTTCTGGCTCCTCAGTGCTCTCCATCCACTTGAGGATGTTGTCACTCACTAGACTGTCCAACAAGGTAGTCATCTTGTGCCTCAT